CTTTCCCTGGCCCGGAGCGGCCGCTCCACACCCTCCTCCCCCGCCAGGCAGCCCAGCTCTTCCCCGGCCTCAGCCGCCTGGTCCATTTGGCGTTCGCGGGTAGCAGGTGGGCATGCTGACGGGGACCTGTGTGTTTCGTTTTCAGAGAAAGATAAGAGCCAGCAGGGAAAGAATGAGGACGTGGGCGCCGAAGACCCGTCCAAGAAGAAGAGGCAGCGGCGGCAGCGGACTCACTTCACCAGCCAGCAGCTGCAGGAACTGGAGGCCACTTTCCAGAGGAACCGCTACCCGGACATGTCCACGCGCGAAGAAATCGCCGTGTGGACCAACCTTACGGAAGCCCGAGTCCGGGTAGGAGCCCGCACGGAGGCTGGGAGGGCTAGCGGGGAGGGCTTTGCGGGGATGCCGGCCCTGTAGCCCGGGAGAGAGTGTGGAAGGCAGCGCTGTCCGGGAGGGCTCGGGTGGGTGCCTTTGCAAAGGCAGATGGCCTCTCACGGCGGCCCCAGTTGCGAGGTTACAGCTCCCTCTTCCGAGACTGGCCGCGGACCTGGCGCAGGCGCCGGGAGCGGCTCCGGCTCAACGCCCCGACCCACTGCGCGCTCCCAAACGCGGCCGCGAGCATTCCCCTGCGCAGAGCATTGTGTTCCCGGCTTGTATTCGCCAGACGAGCGCTAATAAGATCCGTCCCAGGCCACGAGCCGAGGACAGGCTCCAACCTGAGCGCCTTTAACAAGGAAAACCCGCCTGAGACACGCAGGGGTTTGCCCTCCCTGGAAAACTTCCGCGCCAGGCCTAGCCCGGCCTTTTCTCTCCTCTGCTCTCCCTCCTTACACAGTCTTTGCGGTTTTTCTGCCATTCAGATCTCTCCCACACCCTATCCCCTGGTTTTGTGATCTGCGGAAGCAGTTTTAATACACAACTGCTACCCTGCCGGTCCTCTTAGAAAGAAAAGAAAAAAAAAAGAAAGACTTTTCGGTTTGGTTTATTTATCTTTTCTCAGACTGTTACTCACACCTTTCCTCCCAATCATAATAATTTTATTAAAGAAAGGGCTTACCTTTGTAGCAAATCTGTACTTTATGGATTGGCAAAAATGAACTTAAATTACCCAATATCCTGGTTTGTGCTGGTCGGTGGAAAACTCCAAATTTGTTAGGATTCTGGAAGCAGAAAACACGCATAGCAGGAGCCAGAGGCTTTGCTGTTTAAAAAAAAAAATGCTCTGGATAGAAAAAGAGCCCCCAGTTAGAGCTGAGAAAACAGAAGAAAACACTCTAGCAATAATGAAATGAGACCAAAATGCACTCCCAAAGCCGAGAGACCGAAGGCACTCTCTGAGTGGCATGTGTGTAG